GCACACGTGTACTTGGCTGTGCACAAACTTGTGTACGCATATAGAGGCGGGTGTTGTACTGTAGAAGGAAGAGCCGTGTGAATTAGGGATGTGTGACATGAAAGCGTGTACACACGGGATGAGCTTATCTACCTATATCTGTGGACGCGTATGTATACGTTATACGAATATGTACGTATACATAAGCATCCTCGCACGCATCCATATGGGCATACACACAGGGTATGTACTCTTCAGGATGTTTTGTTATAACATATTTTATAAAATAACAGGCGTGGAATATTTACACAGGGGACACATAAATGGCGTGTGCGATTTTTTTTTTTTTTTTCTCCTCCTCCTCCACCCTTTCAGGGTATGATGTTTTGTACCCTTTTTGGTGTGTGTTTTTTTATTTTAATTTCTGGTTCTTCGGAGGAAGCGATACAATCACACACATATGCTGTGTACATATAGGTGTATGCGCGCACGTTGGTAGGCATGTATGAATGTACACATGTCGGCAAACCGCTAAATATTTCAGCTTACTCTTTCGAGAGCAAGCTCGCATAAATGCATACGTGCCTGCGCGTGTAGGTGGGAAAAAATGCATACCGTAATGCGTACATTAAGGTATACATTAAGGCATATATAAACATTTAATTATAGTTTAATATATCTATATTTTTAATGCTGTGGGTATTCACAACAGCCTCGCGATTTCGTATTTTTTTTTTTTTCTTTTTTTTCTTTTTTTCACAGCATAGTGTATTTAATTTATATTTAATTCATTTATATACATCAGGAATACGCTTATGCGTACGTATAAATGGTAACAAAAATATATAAACAGGCAAGATGTACACATAAACTGGGACGTGTATCTATAAAGATGGGAAGGCTTATGTAAAGGTGCGAGAGAACGTGAATAAATCATGCAATACATGTATGAACAAAAAATACACGTATTCATGCATACACGATTTTCGTTTATGCAGGTATTATTGATCCTTAATTGATTTATTTGGCATGTGTCATCTGTCACCTTTATTTTTTTTTAAATCGCTTTCTCTCTCTCTCTCTGTTTTTTTTTTTTTTTTTTTTTTACTGTTTGCTCGTAGTACGCATATTTATTTGTATATTATCTATCTATAAGAGTAAGTACGTATGGATGTATGTACGTACGTATGCGTGAGTGTACCTTTACATGTGCGTGTACGCATTTGTACTCACGTGCGCGGGCGAGTACATGTGTATGCATACGCAGAACTCAATTGTACATGAAATACGCACGCGTTCGTAAATGCGTATATATGTGTGCATATATATATATATTACATATATATGAATATACGCACGTATGATGTGCCTCTGGTGGCTCATCGCAAAGAGCCATAAAAAATATAACTTGGTGTGTTCACATTAAACCCTACGTGCTTTACGCTTATAATTTATTTTTAAATATAATTCATAAATTAATTTCATTTCACGCAAAAAAAAAAAAAAAAAAAAAAATTCAAACACGGCACACAAAATGTTACTTAATTTTTTTTTTTAATGTTTAAAAAAAAAAAAAAACCTACTGCTACATTTTATTATAAAAAAAATTGTGAAATAAAAAGGAATTGACGAAATGTAAAAAACTGTTTGCATACGTAAACTGTGTGCTTTTTCATCCCTTCCTGCCCTTATCTTTTTCTTTCTTTTTTTTTTGATAATTAAAAAGAGTTCATTATTTTTCTCTTTTCAGGGGCTTTTAATTACGACTTTAATTTGCATTATCTCTATTGTTACATGCGCACGCAAGAAAGCACGCACAGGTACGTATATTTGCTACTCATTTGGTATGTAAACTTACACGAGTGTAATTCTTGTGGGCATAAAATAGTTAGAGGATATACATAATGCGTACATGCATACGCATATAATTACGCGCAATGCGCAAAAATGGCATATGATGCGCATTTTGTGTACAAAATGTTATTTAATTACATATGCAAAAAAATTATTGTGCTGCATGTTTTTTTTTTTAATCTTAATTTAATAATATATATATATATTTTTTTTTTAACACGTTTCAAACCTTCCCATTTGTGTAAAGAGTTTTTAATTAATTGTTAATTTTAGGTTTAATTTTTATTAAAGAAAAAAAAAAAAAATTGGTAAATTGGTGTATATATGTATATTTCCTTTTTTCCGAAATTATTTGCATTTTTTTGATGTCACACATATTTTCCTTTTTATTCTTATTTTTCCTTTTTTTTTTTTTTTTTTTGCAATTCTCTTACGATAAAAAGGGGCAAAAAAAAAAAATAGTGCATTTTTTTTACATATATGTTAAAAAAGGTGAAATATGCCGTATTTTATTTTTTTTTTTTCCCCACTGTGCATTAGCAATAAATTGGCACGTATGCACAATATGGCACTTTGGTACAAGCTGGAAAAGAGTTGCTTGTGTACACATGTACTTAATTTTTCAAGCGTGGCGTGTCAACTTGCACACGTAGCACCTACTCATTGGGTAAATGTTGTTCCCTTGCGTAGCTCTGAATAGAGTCCTATGACATCTGAGTAGCATGCCGTTCTGCTTCACTGTGCACATATGTATTTTACAAAAGGGTTACTTTGTTTTTTTGGGGTTGGGCCGCGGTGGATAATCGTGGAAGCATACACATATGCCACCATATTGTTACTTAACATTTATCACAATTTTAAAAGAGGTGGAAATGACAAGATACTTAAAGGGAGACTTAAAAAAACAGGTTACGCAGAGGGGGTCTTACGGAAACCGGGGGCCCAAACATGTGCGTAGCACCATTACTTGAAAGGTGTGCATATTCGGGAGTATAATTAGAAGCAAATTCAGCTAATGAAATATTAGCAACTTCAGTTAGAATGACATCGTTGCGACACCTTGAGGAACAATCGTTTCCGTGCAAAGGGTAATCCACCTAGGCACGCTCCTAAATGTGTGCACGAATTAATGTGGGGTGCCTCTTAACCGTTGCCGACCTATAGGGAAAGGTGCACTGCGCACAAGGTTCATTCCCCTTGCGCACCCGCGCGTAAGTGGCCAAGCTGTTACACACGGCTGCGTATGCTTGCGTCCACTTGTACCATTTTGGTTTACACCCCTTGAATAAGCATACCTGTTTAGTTCTTTTTTGCAAAAATGGTTAGTGAACCAAAAAAAACCAATAATAATAATAATAAAACAATATTTGTTCTCTAGTAGGCGCATGTGCACCATGGTGCATTGGCAGTAATTCTTTGCTCCTTGCTAAAATTAAAATTTTAAAGCTACCACATCTTTTGTAAATTCTTCAAAAAAATAATAAAAAAAAATATATATATATATTTCCCCCTTAACTATATGGCCTATTCGGTATGCTTCAAATTATGCGTTACACTAAAGGTGGGTGAAATGTACACACAAGGTACGCGCAGTTATGCTTAAGTCTTCTGTGTGTAAAAGAAAAAAAAAGGAGGAAATACTTGTAACAATTTTTTTTGCATATGAAGGTGTATACATATGCCATTTGCACGAGCATGTATGCACATGATATAATTGCGAATTAATAGTTTCCCCCAATGTATCAGGCTCACATAGGCGCTATAAGATGCAGTAACATTTTTACCAGCCCCTATCACAAAATGAATGTTCCCCAACGTTCTTATTAAAAATATTTACGTAATTTTACAAAATTTGCATTTTCAACACGTACATGTGTGTATAAGGTGACAAAGTTTACTGAGTCATGTTGTGCCCATACGACCCCCCTCATCGCGATAATGCGGTCCAATGTGTGCATGTTCCCTCCCCTTTGGACCATGTCGTATATTTGGCCATTTCTATACACATAGGAAATGTGCCGTTGAGGGTAACACACAAGGCTAGCCATTCTGTGCACAAATGAATTATGTGGGGATACACAAATTGGAGCAAACAATTTGCTCACAATTATTGTTATCTGTTGGAGAATTTCTCATAATGTCAACAAGGGTGGGACAAAACAGTGGACAACAATTTCTGTCGTGTGCAATTCATGTTTATTTTTTCACTCGAGTTGATAAATTTGTTTTCCCGAAATGGAGGGACTATATCTACAAGTACAGGCTTTATAAAGTGGTTAAACCGACGACATGGTCGCTTTCAATTTTGTTCATTTGTGTGTTTATGCCTTGCTCGCGTGTTAACCTTATGTGGATTGAAAACAAACGGGGGGGCGAAGAAGCATTTCAAAATTGATGTAGCGAAATTGTTCGAAGGCGTAACACTTGCAAACATTTGTTCTGCCATCTTTAACATATTGTTACGTCTACATATTTGAATTAATGCGTTTTGCGACATATATGCGTGCTCGCAATATGTTCACGAACGGGGGAGGAAAATTCCTTTTTTTTTTTTTTTTTTTAAAAGATATAATGAAAAAACCACAACATGTATTTCTGCCGTTTCCTTATTCAGTAGAACGTTTGAGGATGTACCGCTTACGCCCAAGCTGCCATGAAATGAAAAAGACCTGTCCGTTAGCATCAACAACCTGTGATGCAAAAGAGTAAAAGCGCACAACACAGACACGCGATGAGACATGTTTACGAATTCGCAAACAAATGTGGGCGCTTCATTTGTGTTGTTGAAAAATGCTCAGGGGAAGGGGGACCAGACAAATGCTCCAGTTCGCGTTTCGCGCAGCCATTTTGGGGGTTATTTTTTTTTTTAATGAAGCACAATTTGGACAAAGGGTTACATAACAAGAGCGCAGTTTTTTCGTACAGTACATATATGTACAATTCATTACTTTCAGTTGTACACAACGTTATGGTTGTCTTGTTCTGCACCCGTCAATTGATAAGCTCAGTTTGCAGCAAAATTAATTTTTTCCTTCAAAATAAAAGGACCATAACAGAATAGAGCGATGGGTACAGACGTTAAATTGAAAACTCCGAAAAGTTCTTTCAAGCTCATATAGCAGATTCGTTCTTTGTCTTTACATGCAACATGCGCACAAATTAAAAAAATGCGGGAGAAAACAAATGGAAACAACAATGGTGGGGCAAAAATGGAAAAAGAACATGAAAATAATCAAAATGATGATGAAAGGACGAAAAACTTCGTCATAAAATATAATATATTCAATCCCATTGGCGTATTTTTTATTTTTTTTTTTTTTTTCTCCTTTTTAAGGTACTTTTGTTTCCTTTAAATATGAAGGAAGAAGCGCGTAATTTTTATAAATTCGTAAAAATGACTGAACCAGAAAAAGACGGCTGTTTCTTCTTGAGTGCAAATAAATTTTGAACCATGGGCTTCAGTAGAATTTGTCAAATATGCAAAAAGTTACGCACGCGTTAATATAAATATATAGAGAAATTTTATGGGCACTTTTTATTACATATATTTTTTTTATGTATACCATTTTAAGCATATTTGCGATGCGAAATTCGTAGCCCACGTGGATTTATATATATATTCGCCGTACTGATGATATCGTGGCATGATTTTTTATAATTGAAACCCTTTTGTAATTGCGTATTTGAAAAGGGAAGAACGAAGAATGCTCTATTTCAATTCGGAATTTGAAAATTTTGTAAGAATAAACTTTTCTCCCCCCAAAAAAAAGGTTTCGATTCTCTGTATCTCGTCATGATTTTGTGCTACAACAGAGAAACCAAATTAAGGAAATAGATAAACAAAGCTTGCAAGTAAATAAATTTGCGAGCGAATAAAATTGCGCATAATTGATTATACAATTAATTGAACTTTTGATGACCCCAAAATATCTACCGACTGCTCCGTGCAATTTCCGTTTTTAACGAATCCATACATGCTATTATTATAACACCCATACCCACAATACGCACGCCAGTACGTTATAATGCGTTATGCAAAAACGTTCTGACAATTATTGTGATGAGAATTAGCCAGTTCAGCGCCACTCTTCCTTTTTGTGCGCCCCTTATAGTGTATATATTTCCGTTCTGTATGCCATACGTATTTGATTATAACTTACGTCGTACCCATTTGCATAACCAGGTTACGCTTACGTGGGTGTACATACTTAGGTGAGTATAAAATTGACAGACGGCATAATTTTACAGTACAGAAAATGTGAAGTTAATCGCCGTCCGGAAATTTCGTACTTGCCATTACATTACTGATGTAAATGTTTCCTCTGTTTGCGTCTGGTTGAACGACGCAACAGGGAGACGGTGCGTCTGTTTTGTGTACCACTTAACGTGCCTTTATGTGTATACAGATATAAACATATGTGTACATATACGCGCATGGTACCGTATACTTGCGCTTACGTTTTTTAAGTAGGAAAAAAGAGGAGTCTCGTATGAGGCAGTAACCTTTCCTTGCTGCGCATAACTCAACCCGCAGCACAATTGCAATTGCAGACATACAACTGCTACGCATAACTCGCTTCCGCTTTATGAAAAAAACCAGTGCCATTTTTCATATTAACACAAGCTTCATTTTCAATATTGATTATTTTACGTATTATTTTATTTTATTATTATTTTTTTTTAATTTTCTTTTTTGATATTTTCCAAAGTGTACGTTGTTTTTAATTCGTTTTACTAAATATTTATTTTCGCCTGCATTTATGCCATCACGTAACACACGCGCACGGCAAATATAAGATTGTATGTATGTCTGCGGGAACGTACGCACGTGTGTATGTACGTACCTGCGCCTTCATGTTGCCTATGCATTTCGCGTGTTAAACGCTGTGCACATTTTTAAACCGTTTAAAACGGGGCAGCAAAGCGAAATCAACGTGGAACGTTGCGACTCCAACGGCCACCGCACGAACGAACAACTTTACTCAACCGATCCGTCCGTACTTGCCATTGTTAACGTCACCAAGAATTGTAGAGAAACATGTGTCCACGCAGAGAAGCAGGGGATTCGATATTTTAAGTGAACAAAAAAGGGGGAAATATGCAAATTGTCCTGGGCAAATGTACAATTACGTGTATATTTGTTTACATATGTGTATGTGTATGTATGCATATATATATGCCTGTGTATGCTTACCCATACTTATGTAACCGTGTGTATGCGTGTGGCCAAACCTTCCCATGTGCACCCGCCGTACATGCAAAAAAATAAAATAATAGTACTATCCGTAAGGAGTAAATTACGGAGATCGACGGCGCACAATTGAATTGTTCGCACTGTACAAAAAAAAAAAAAAAAACGACACAAAAAAGGTTGCGTACGTATATATGCGCATACGCATGTATATACGGGTGAGTATACGTATTCGTAGCCATATGTGTATGCACATATGCACGCCCCTGTCGTCCAAACGATGACTGGCAACCAAAGCCAAATAGAGGAGGCACATGCTCCAGAAATTGCCCCAAGACAAGGGGCAAAAAATAGGAAAACATTCCGCAGCTTCCACTTTTTGAAAAAAAAAAATGAAGAACGTAGTGCCGATAATACAAGAAGCAAGGATCACATGTTCTCATCAAGTAGGAGTGATTACGCTTCTTTGAAGGATAATCAGAAGGAGGTAATTAAAGGAAAAGTACCCAAGTCGTATGTACGCGATTTGGAAATACCCAACGTTAGGGTGAGAAATAAATTTCAGTTTGTTCATGTGCATGGCGCAGAAAATGATTCTCCAAATCAGCGTCTTCATGAATCTAGTGAACGGGACGATGTTGCCCTCCCCCAAGATTTAAGCGGCGCGTCCGCCACAGACAGCCATAGCTCAGGTCATGGTGCAATTAATGATGCTAGTCATGACGCCATCGAGAACGTGAGTAACAACGTCAGTAATAACGCCAGTAATAACATCAGTAATAACGTGAATAACAACGTGAGTAATAACGTGAGTAATAACCCCAGCAATGGCATATCGGGGACGCGAGCGAGTCACCAGTCCGCGCAGGATGAGGACGAAAGTGCCTCCCTACGGGTGGATTCTTCTCTTCCAAATACATCAACAAGAAATAACGAACACGAAGAAAATAATTCCAGCAGCGCCGCCATTGGGCAGGAAGCGAATGGACAGTCATTGGGTATGGTTTCGGGAAATATCAGACAGGTGGGGCATGTTACTGGGGACAGCGGACCGAATGGAAATGTTACATGCGAACATACTCCTGATGAGAACCCCCCTAGTGAGAATCGACTAAATGAGGACACACAACCTCCTAGTGGAGGAAACATAGAAACACAAAACGATCTTCTAACAAACTTAGAAAACCCAAATCAGAACGAGGCGCAAAATGACCCAAGTCGAAGCAGAAATTCAGCAGAAAACACATCGAATGCAGAAGACTTAGACTATTACGTCTTAACGATAAGGGACTTAAGAAACACGCAGGTGAATGAAAGCGAATACGAAAATGAAGAAGGGCTTGAGCTAGCTTTTTATCAGAGATGCATTATTGGGAAGATATTTGGGTATGAAATAAAGCCTATTTTAGAAGAATATAATTTGAATAAAGCCATTAGACTAATTCTGTTCATCTTATTGATGCTGGCACTTTTTAGTATAGAATTTGTCCTACTGTATAATAACCTATTAAAAGTAAGGGTAGCGGAAAACCAGTTTCTTCTAATCGAATCAAATTACAACAGCGCCTTCTTAAATAATTTTCTGTTTCAATTTAACGAAAAGGAATTAAAAACGTGGCACCTAACGAATGACATGATAAGGGATGAAATAACAAACGGAAATTTTACACTCTACGATAACATGTGTGAAGTGGTTAACAAGTTAAATATAAATTGTGACGAACATTTGCTAGAATTCTACAAATCGCATGGTGACAAAAATAAGAAAAAAATAATCGAACATTCTATTCATTTGTATGACGAACTGAGCCAGAGAAATATTTCCATTTATAGGGTAAAGGAAACTTTGCTAAGTCCATGTAAAGATATAAGCACAAGGACCCTCACCGAAGGAAGTAGTTATATATTTCTATTTGTAGCTCAAAAGAAGCATCTAAAAATTAGCACCCCCTTTTTAATACTAACGGTTTTTTTCTTCTGCATGCGTATCGCCCTAATCCTGTCAAGAATTCTATACGACTTTGTGTTATTTTTGTGCTTCAAGAATTACAGACTGTCAGTCGAGAGCAAAAGGAAGTACCTTGCCAAATATATGTGGTCAGTGAGCACTATCATGTTTCTAGAGATTATATTAGGGGATGACTGCGTCATTTGGTGGATACACGATATTGACCCTATTTTTAATTACCACTTTCAATATTTCTTGTGGTACATATCTCTGTTCTGCTTATTGTCGTATGTACTACACAGAGTGTTTAGGAAGTATGCACTAAGAAATGACAGTAGCAACTGCTCAGCAGCTTCGTTCTCCATGCAATATATTCAGGATTTTCTCTTCGCGATTAACATCATTTTCGCCTGCCTCTTTATACTATTCAATATAAGTAAGGCCACAGTTATCACCATTATCATCACCGCCATAGTGCTCTTCATAGATATATTAAATGACTCCTACTTAGAACAAATACGACTGACCAATTTTGAAGCGTTCCCATCATCCAATCGGCAAAGAAAGAAAAAATTATACATAATTGAAAATAACAAAAAAAATGAAAAGAAATTTACTCTAGTTAGATTAAATGAGCACATTTATAGAGAGGTCACCATGGAGAGTAACTCAGAAAAACGAACAAGTAAAGGTGATTTCGATACCAATAATAAAGACCAACTGAAAAAGTCATGTGAGAAAAAAAACAAAATATTTAACTTGAAGAATTTATTTAATAAGGGAAAAATAAAGAAGACAAAAAGTCCAAAAAATGCCACCAGCAATGGTAAAGAAGTCGAGGAGGGGAAAGGTAGTAATAATAGTGAGGAGGAAAAACATAGCTATGTTGATGGTGAAAAATATGACGGTATGCATAACCCAGGAACGTCATCTGTGGACTATTGCGAAATTTGCGATGAACGCCTTAAAAATGTGGTGCTGTATCCCTGTATGCATGGAGGATTTTGCGAAACATGCATACGGTCCATGATATTCAATTCACTTAAGTTGAAGGACTCCTTCCCAAATTGTCCTCTCTGTCGAGACGCCATCAAAAATGTCTACAAAATATCATACGAGGATAGTCAGCAGAAGGTCGAGGCCGTCACCATACTCACTATCAGGGTGAAGCAATGATAATATATTGCATGTCTCGCAGAATTTGATTGCCGCATCGTGTGTGTGTGTATACATTGGTAGTATGCTTTTGCCCACCCCCCTTTTGTTTTCACATTGTGTGAGGAACTGTGCCCTTTCCTCCCCCTGCACGGACGACCGTTTGTTTTGTTTCACCCGTATCACCCCCCGTTTGTTCCTTTGTGTTTTCATTTTTAAATATTGTCCTCATGTGCGCACCATGTTCGCTGGCGCAGCTACCCATATGTGTGTGAATATGTGTGTAAATGTATGTATAAATATATATCTAAATATATGTGTAAATATATGTGTACATATCTATATGCATGTTTATGTATTTGTGTACCCATTCGCGTGCGCGTACGTCGAGTCGGTAGCCATCGCAGAACAGCAACCCTCTGGCTGCTATGGCGAATCACCCAAAAGAGCACATGAAAAAATAACTGCAATGGCATATTCATTCCCTTTGTTTCTGCGTATTCCGTTTATTTTTGTGTCCCCCCGTTCATTCTGTGCCCACCCTATTGTTGTTCACGCGTTTTTCCTTATACACCTGCCCTGTACCTTTTTTTTTTTTTGTTTTTTCGCGTCCCTCCTTGTTCCATCTCCCACGCGATTCATACGATGTTTATCTGGGTACGTAGGAGGAAAGGTGCACACTTGCACGCGAACCCGAGGACGCCCATACCTGTGCACAGGACAATGCCTCCAGGTGCACATGTAACGAGGCCCCAATTTTTAAGTTATTCATATTTATAAAATTAAATATAACCAAATAACTTTTAATAGTATGACCAACTCGATCTATTTTAAATTAATGATTGTACCGTTGTTCACGAAAAAAAGGGAAAAAAAAAATTTTTTTTTTTTTCCACAATTTGACTTAAAAAAAAACTTGTGTCCGGGCACCTGCCTGCGATAAGATCACATATCGAAGCTTGCCAAAACCTGAGATGGGGAAGACATGGATGAGAAAAAGTGTACACGCATTGGATTGGTTTGCAAACGATTGAGTTCGCGTACCATTTCGCGTTTCATATCATCCATGTTATTCCATGTACCTTCCTCCTGATGCTTCTGGCCCGGTCAAGATTTCCCTCCAGGAAGCTAAAAAAGTCCCTCACGCAAAAGTCGATTGGGATCTGTAAAAGGGAGGGAAGCGGCGTACCCATGGGGGGAGATTCACATATACAATTGCCTATCTGTGGGGTGTCATCATAACACGGGTCCCACCGTGCGGTATCACGTGGTGTTTCCCACGATTGCGCATACACACAGGCATAATTACGTAAATAAAACCAAAGGTAGGGCACAAGGATATGGTTTTGTCCAGGTAGACAACCAGCGGAATTTGCGTTTGATGATTTTTTAAAAGTTTGAGGCAGTTTTCTAGCAACCACCTATCGGCATCATCCTTCAAGTGCATTCCACATAAATTTTCGACCGCCTTTTTCTTTACTTGTTCCTCTTTAATGTCCTTATGCAAAAAAATTAAATTTGGATCAAATCCATTTTGAACAATTTTATAACTGCTATGGAGGATGTCACTGTCGTATTTATATTTTTTATTTTCTATGTCTGGGAATTTTTCGTGTGCTATTTTATTTGCAACTTCTTTCAGTTTTAGCAACTTTTTTTCCCTCCTCTTTTTGTGATTAATTTTTTGATATTTTTCTTCTAATTTTTTTTTTATGTAATGAAAGTAGCTTCTTCGTTTCTGTATTAACAAGGCTTGCTGTTCCGATGGTTGAAACAACGCCTGTGTGTTTTTTACATGCTCGGTTAAATCGTCCCATATGGAGTTGATACCTCCATTTTTTTTTCCTCCCCCTTTGTTCGAACTGAATATGTCCTCATCCAAATTTTCGATGCTGTCCTTATCGCACTCGTCCAATATGTTTACATTTTTTATTTTCTCCAAAGATTGCCTAATGTCGTATATCAATTTTGCTGTGATTTCTTCCTTCTGTTGGAGTGATAAATTATTTGGAAGGGTTTGCAATTTAATGACGATGTTTTTATACCTCCCCTTGATTATTTTATTCTGTGAATTTTCAAACACTTTAAAAAACACTATTTTCTTTTCCAAGAATATGTTACTTTCGCTTCTTTCGGACGAACTTAAAATGTCTATGTATGAATTTAAAACACTGAGCGATTCGCTGTTCACCTTTTTTAGCTCCTCTGGTAACTCTTGTGTTAAGTCTGGATGTATTTCTTTATAAAAGAAGAGGATCAATTTTCGCACGCTCTTTCGAAAGATACTCGATTGATATTTTCTTCCATTTGCAAATTGAAATGTGCATTTTTTACTCGTAAGGAAGTTGTTACACCTGTTGAGGCTGCTCATCAATTTTGACAACATCGGTTTGGCCTGCCGTTTTTTTTTCGTGAATGTTTTTTTTTTTATTTTTTCCTCATTCCACCTTCGCCAAATGGGCAAATAAGCAGGGAGAATAAAATTGGTAATAGAATAAATAGTAAAACAAAAAAAAATCTGTGGAACGAACTAGCTAAAATGGTTTGCATGAGGAAACCTGAAATGGATGATTTAACAGTGTAAATGTACCATTCCCATTTGGGGAGCGGCAGGTGGCACTAAAATTGATATAAAAAAAAAAAAAAAAATTGGATGCCATTTTTTGGCTTAATTTTATCGTACTCAAACATTACGTATGTGTGATTATACCAACTCCAAAGAGGCAAAAATAAAGACCCTTTTTCGGTGTACTTTCGCTTTTTTATGATGGGCACATACATACCATTTTGAGTTCTATATATGTGTACACCGAGTTGCACAATCTTCGGAGGAATATAACTGTGCCGTTTTAAAATGATAAAAAAGTGGGGTGTGAGTTCACTTTCTATTTTGTTTTTCCATTTGAAGAAAACAAACAAAAGGAGAAAGGGGAAAAAGTGCAACAACAAATGGAACAGATTAATATAAACAAAATTGTAGAAGTCGTTGCCTTTATACAAATGTGCCCCTTCACTTCCCCCTGGCTAAAATGGCAAAATACGGATGGGCATAAAATGTAAAATTGACAAGGGAAGTGCAGTTAAAAAGGGTGCAATTAAAAACATGGTGCAGCTGAATGTCCCTTTTAAAGGAGTGCGTCAGGGGGAAAAAGAAAAGTGGCGCCTCTTAAAAATGGATCAAGTAAGACTGCATCATTTCAGTGGTATGAAAAAAAAATAAAAAAAAAGAGCGATAGCATATATGTGTAAATGTAGGCCATTCTGAAACAGATACCCTTATGTGCAAACGCTTGTACGTGTGGAGAAACGTCCGTGTGAAGGCTCCACGCGAATGGGGCGACGTTCTGTCCCCCCATGCGCCCTCACTTGGACAGTTGAGACTCCTGCAGATTCTTCCCCACCAGTGTATGTATTTCCATATATTTATGGACACACCTGTCAACACAACTGGTTTCGCCTACCGAAAGTAACGAATCGTTTACATCTGGTATACATTTGCTCCAACAGGTGTTTTGCATGCGCTTGAACAAATCAGACATGCCTAGTAGCTCTACCACGGTGCTATTTACTTTGCTTATGTTTTCATTCATCTTGTGTAAGGAAGTAGGTGCAAAGGGGGTTCTAAGTAAAGGCTTTTCTTGGATGTTGCACTTGGACCTGTGCATAAAACGGGAGAAACGTGTCAATTGTGGTGAAATGTTGCTCTATGTGGAGCTTATGCGTAGCTGCAAGGTTCACATGGATACACGGAGATAACGTCACTTTTTTTTTTCTCTCTCTCATTGATATTACTTGTTTTCCGCGATTTTTTTCAAAATCTATGCTTCAAAAATGTGAGGAATGGATGTTCTTAAGCAAAGTGAATTCATACGCATGGCACCTATAGTAGTAGGATTTATCCTTTCTTAAAAGTGGGAGAACAGGTGGGGTGAAGGATCCGCGCGAGGAAATAAAACGCAATTCTGTGAAATTAAACTAAATCGAATTAAAATGAATCAAATTAAATCGATTTAAGCTAAATCGAATCGAGTGAAAACCACTAAACGCGTTCTTTTTTTTTTTTTTTTTTTTTCCCAATAATCACAGAATGCGCCGCGTGTGTTAACGGATGCTCTATAAAAAAAAAAAAAAAAAAAAAGCAGCATTTTGATGTGATGGCATAGGCATATATGCGTGCATATACATATGAATGCACTTGGCAATATGTAGAACGTTGAATGAACAATTATGTTGGACACAGCATTTTTTTTTGTTGTATGTGTACATATTAATGTTTGTTGTAGGAGGAGGGCAGAATGGCCGATTACAGTAGTAGAACAGGGCCAGGGCAAAACGGGCTGGTTATCTCCTTTTTTTTGTTCCCTTTTGCAGCTTTTTTCCATTTCGCATAATTCTACCACTGGGGAAAAAACATCGTGAAGGGGGAAAATCACCAAATGTGATGTGGTGTGACCAAGATGAATAACTACATGCCGAAAAGCTTCGACGAAATATTAATACACCCCAAGGATAAGCAAACCATTTTGGACTTTTTCACCAATTTGATAAAATTTAATAATGACCCAATTTTAAGCAGAGAGTTAGAAAGCTGGAGCAGTGCCAAACAGACAGTGGATGTGCAGAAATTAAAGAACATATGTGTAATTCTGGGGGCCACGGGAAGTGGGAAAAGTACATTAATAAAGTACTTATGTGACAAATTAAATATGAGAGAGTGCCACTACGAATCAGAATCGCAGGAACATATCTCTTGGGTTAGAAAGACTAGTGAAGAGAATGAACAGTACTATCATCCGTATAATAATTTCTTACTCTATTCGAACTGCCAAATTGGAAATACAAAAAAGGTAACAAAAAAACATGGGCAAAAAGAGGATGAGAATAAGTGTACGAAAAAGAACAAGGTATGCAACATGCTGTTGTGCCACGAAATTAGTAGTAACAATAATAAAAGGAAGAACAAATATGAGCACAGAGAAAATTGGCCATTACAAAAAATTATTAAAACTGAATCGGGGAATAGCCACCCAAATGGCAGAATGAATAAATCCGCACCACTAGATGTTGAAAGTGGGGTTAAAAAGAAAATTGTAGCAGATTTGGTAGAGTGTAGCGACATAAACGGGAAAATAACAAGCGTGACGCTCAAATTGTACAGTATTTATATGAACCTAGTAAATCACACAATCAGTGCAAGGAGAAAAACAGGCAGTCCATTCTGTTTAGAAGGACAGGAGGGTTTTTTCCCCGGTACTGTGTCTAACCAGTTTAACAAAATTATACACAAAAATTACACCGTGGGGATTAACATGTGGAAAAAAATGAACAAGCTATTAACTTCAGCTGATAATTTGAAAAGACACATTGTGGAACACGAAGAAGAAGCACATACACTTGAGAAGGAATTTATAATCGATATGTTTGTAGATGGGAATCATAGCGAATACGTAGTTAACAGCATGCAGTGTTCCTCTAATTTGCGCGAACATATGAGCTCAAACGCAAAGGAATCGAGCAATTTAAGCAAATCAGTGATGGATGTTTTAAAATTGTTTATTAACCTAATGGAAGAAGTGAATGACGATTTCGCCTTGGCCAATACGCTCAGGGAAGAATTAACAGACTTTGTCGAAAGGAAGAACATGAGACAGAGGACAGAAAAGTTCATGTCCTATGGAAGAAGAAACTACTGTGTCATTAATGGAATGGAGGAAAATGAAATGCAACGAGGGGAAGTGAACAATATGGATATTTTTTCCAACGTGTGGAAGGAAGAACTGGGAGAAAATGCCCCCTCTTCGATTATTGACTCACTTGAGGGAGAAGTCAAACAGTTTGTAGAATCACACAGGGGAAAGCAAATAATCCCCCACTTGTTGGAAAGCACAAATTTAAAGCAATGTATAGGGCAACACCAACACATTAGTAGTGAACTGTGTAAGCGGGAAAAGATCATCCGAGCGCTTACTGGTGAAGAAATACACCACATTTGGCAACACACCACTTTGCAGACTTACGATAATAATGGAATGTATGATACCATATCTCAAACGTGTCACACGAGCACACGTGCGTTGTATTTAATGGCACTAAACGATCAGTTCACACATTTAATTAACAATTTTTATTTCTTGAATAATATTAAGGGGTTGTCTTTGTGCAATTGTTTCTTGGGCAGCCATGTGACCGAGGCAATGATTATTAATACAACCCTTGTGAGTTACCTAAAGAGACAAGTGGCTAATGACCTTATTAGGAAAAATAACTCCCCGAAGAGGGGAAATGAGGACAGTGCACCGATGAGGCCTCCGTTTCCCTCAAAGGTTGTGGGCACAAAATTGGTTTCGTCATTCGCCAACTCGATGGGGAATATTCTAACGAATTGTAACGAGGATCACCATGTTGCGTATACAAAATTGAGAAGCATACTTGAGGGGAAGAACAACCCCTTTGAGGATGAAACTTCCCGTTTTACCCTTCTAAGCAATTCCAAACAAACGTCTGGGGATTTTGCCCTTACAGAAAAAGCACAAAAGAGAGTAACCAATTACTGCAGCGAGCTTTACAAAGTGAACAGCAGGGTGGCGAGCAAGCTAATTAAGTGTAACGATTTCATGGACGAATTAATAACCCATTTGGGCAAAGACAGAGATGTGCAGGCAAAAATGCTTTGTGCCCTGATGGAGGATATAGAACTAAACGATAGTATGGTGAAGTGGTTCATACCAAATTTTCTGAAGAAACAAATGAGAAGAGTCATTTCTGGGAGCTGCCTCTACAGGGAATTTGTCAACATCGATCTTAAGAAAAAAAGGGAAGAAGAGAAACAAAAAAATTACTACGAAGAACATTTTATAGGTACTCGTGCGGTCCTGCTGGACGAATTACCATTAATCGAGTTAGAATACTCAGAAGACTTCCGAGCAAGTTGCGCTAGTACGATGGAGTTTATATTCAACCGAGTCAATCATTGTAAACAAGAGTATATAAAGTACCTTCGGGAAAACAAACCCGCGGAGGAGTTCCCCAAATGCTATGCAATTCACCCCATGGTAATCTTTATAAATTCGTATGATGAAATAAGGACCGTCAATACTTTGCTCGGAATTGATATTAATAATTCTTCATATGTTTCTTTTGTAAGGTTAAAAAAAATGAACCCACTATATTTGGAGAAAGCCCTGGCAGAACGGTACTACTGTAGGATGATCAACCTGAACCGGAACGTGAAAGAGGTTTTGAAAAAAATGACACAAAACTGCAATGGAGACATACGGTCCTGTTGTAACGCGCTGGACTTACTAAATCGCATTCCAAATTTGAATGAAATGTCACTGGAAGAAATTAACAATATTTCTCTTCTGTGCCAAAATGATGTTTTTTCCTTTGCTAGGAAGGTTCTGTATAGTGATCTCAGGCTAGACACAATTTCGACGGACCCTTTGTCCGCCTCAACCTGTTTCAATGTAGGTACGAATTATTCTAACTGGGAAACCCACAATAAGGTAAACCATGGGAGGATAAGCGAACGCGCAGTTGGGAATAACTACTCAGCAGTTACTACCAACTATATTGAGGAGGCAAAAAAGGAACCCCACAAAAATACTCTACACACTTCCACATACAGTTTCGCCTCCCATACGAAAATGCCTCTTAGCACCAGCAGTGGCCACCAGACGAATCGTCTTAACATGCAAAGTGAGGCAAAGACACAAAAACATGATAAAACATACAGAGAACTTTTCACAGAATTGGATGACAAAGCACATATGCTGAGCACAACGGAGAAGTTTCAAGTCCTGTCATTGTTAAAAGAAAATTATATATATTTTTACAACAGCTTATCTGATATGGCTAGATTATTTTCAAACCTGAGTGCTATTAATTACTCCTTTCGTGGGGTCGACTGCTCAAACATTTTAATGAGAAAGGGCCATGAAAACATGACTGACGATGTAGCAAGATTTGTGGATGACCACTTCAGGTTGACCTACAGATATTACATAATTTGTAATGGGAACCCCCAGAATCCAGTGGACAACGCACCCCCAGCGCAGGAAGGGTTAACTAATAAGGGCAGAAACAGGCCAGCCTATTCCGCGCACACCCACGCCCCGTCTACCCATGGAGTGCCCCCCGCATGCCACGTGAACACTTTCTTCGCGCTCAAGACCAATTACATGAATAAATACTATCACCATTTTAGCCTAGTCAGGAAGGAATTATACGACCGTTACATCATGATTGTGTTGAGGAGGATAGCGAACCAACCTGTGAATAATTCGCATGATGTTTCAGCAAGGTACCTTTTTTTCTTAAGGGGGAACTACGAATTGTTTGCGAGTTTTTTCCCTTGCTACATTATGCTGATTATACAGCACTGGAATAGTATGGGCGAGTCCAAGGACACGGATGTGCAGGGTCATGATTGGGATCCCCTTTTTGTTTATGCCCCAGATGAGCCACCCAACAGTGATCCGTTTTCCCTTAACAAATTCTGGGACATGCTACATCATTTCAAACACCGCGGTTCGGGGGGTAAGAAAGCAGAGGAGCATGCAACGGAGATTATTTCATTTGCGGAAACGTTTATCACTCCAAAATTTATAGCCCTTTTTTTTCCGTCTTATTTGAAGTACTTAAAGGAGGGGACGAGGCAAAAGCAGATCATCCGGAACTTCATCGGAAATGAGGCCGTGTCCACCGAAACGTACTTTGAGATGCGGAACGCACTGCGCCTGCACGATATGCAGCTGCACAGCTATTTCTTCGACTACTGAGATGGGGGCGGCAAGCGTTAGCGCGTGCGGCGGTTTGTCTAGCTCATCTCCTTCCTTCGTCACCTGTTTGTCTGCCAGCTGCACCCGCGGCTGCCCTACCCCTTCATTCGCCTTTTTTTTTTTTTTTAAAATGGGAAAGAATTTTAAAACTAGTCTTTTTTAGTAACACCAAAAAAAAAAAAAAGAAAAGAAAAAACAAAATTGACAGCAAAGTGAATACTGCTGGAATTAATCTAAAACGAAGAGACACAATAGGACAGACAAAGGTTATACTGTCCTTTTTCCGTAAGTGCCGCACGGAGGGTCGCATGTACTAGTAGCATACCCATGTGTGCGATTTTTTAAAAATTTTATTTCGTCAACAAAATCAGGCGTATAAAAATGAGAAAAACTCCGAGGTTGTAATGCGGTGGAGCGGTACACCACTTTTGCGGAACGAATGAAGAGCGCCATGCGCACACAATCATTAGTAAGAAAAATCATACAACACTGAAATGATCAGCAGGAGCACTGCAAGGAATAGGAGCAGCTCAGTCATTTTTACATGCTTGATTCGTAGATACCTAGAGGGGTAGACATGGATAATATTTTCATTAATTTTTCCATTCACATAGTCATCTATCTGGTAAGCATCCTCATACCCATGCAATGGCTTCTCTGGACAAATCAAATTAATTGTTGGTAATTCGTCGTACTGGTTTTCCTTCTGATGACCCGTAAGTAATGGCTCCGTCTTCTCATCAGCATTAAAATTTTTCAAATAATTTAACTTAGAATTAGATGTGGCGAACGTTTTGTTCTGCATATTTTCCTCCACGTTATTGTCGCTGTAGGAGACAAGGCCGTCATTTGTGTGGTTGGACAAATTTGTGTTTCCCTTTTGAGTGCTTTGCGCGTACACCCTATCGCAGCCGTCATTTCGACAGTGACTGTCATGCTCACGGTCACCTCCTGTGTCCCCGTTCATTATCATCATAGGATGCTTGTGTACCCAGTAAGCATTTCTGGCATGTTTATATTTGCTAAAAGTTCCTCTTTTCTTATTCTTCTCACTGAAGGAGAGCAAAAAGTTGTACTTGTAATAGTTGAATATGTTGTTTATGGTGTCATCGAGGTTACTCTGTCCATTTCCTTTGTTAATTTTTGGAATCACATTGTACACATTGTCCGGCACGGACAGTGTATTCACATCTTTGTACATTTTACTTTTTCGATTGAACGAATTTAGCCAGTACAAGATTCTGTCCTCTGTTTGGCAGTTCTCCTTATCTGCACATCCCTCGTGATTACCATTTTCTGGTGGAATCCTTTTTCTGCTGTGAGCTAAATTGGGAAATGTTTCGTACTTGTTCATGTTGCTGTACTGAGATGTAACATTCACTTGGGTGTAATTTGCACTCCCCAGGGGATCAGCTATTTGCTCATTTGTTTCAAAATTTTTTTGTGAGTCTTCAGTTGCGTTTTTTCCCCCGTTTTCTTTGGTTCCCTCCAATTCATTTATTTGGTCGAAATGCACATGCACCTTTTTGTCACTGGAAAAAGATAATAATTTTTTGCAGCCTGCATAATTATCGACACTTTCGGTTTGCAAAAAAGAAGGTGCACTTTCTTCATTTGTTTTTTGTCTCATCGGGCAGTTCCTCTGAGAATGTAACTTCTTCAAATGTATCATGCCATTTATTGCATCTTCATAATCTTCCATGCCATGTTGTCCATTTTTATATAAATTGAGGGAATAAGAATAAATATCACTTTTGGATTTTCTGAAGGAGGAATTTAGAGAATCATTTGAATGGAAAGATTTTCCTACGTTAGATACATTCACATGCATGTTACTGTTTGGAAAAGTATTTTGTCTTGCTTCATTTTTATTTCCATCAAAGGCCCAGGTTAAATTTTTTTTATTACTTATTCCGCTAATGAATACGTGAAAATGGTTTTCTAAATTATTACTTAATTTTCCTTCATATGTATCATTTGAGGGCATATCAATTTGTACTTCTTTCATTTCTTCCTCACCGAGGTTATCTCCTCTTGGTTTAGTGTCCACATGGGTAGTTGCTGTTCCAACTCGTTGGTACGAATCATTTACCCCCTCTTCTTCTTCTGCTTGACAATTCACCGCTCTTGCCCTCCCTTGAAAGGGCTTACCATGCGTCAAGTGTCCTCCCTCTTCCAAATCTGACATTTGCTGCTCCCCAGTTGGAAGATCTGTACAAGGGAGCGCTTCCCTCCCCTCGTTATGAACATCACAGATATACGCGTGGGGACTTACCTCTAAACTGCAGTGGGTTGGATCCCCTTCATTCGGCGCATTAAGCTCCAGCGAGAGTCCCTTCCCAGGGTTGTCAAAATTGTATAAATAGCACACATTACACACGTCCTGCACATCGCACATATCGCAAGCGTTTTTCCCGTCCGAGACACCCGCCAGCATCAGCTTCAAATTCAAAAAGGAGTCAAACATGTCTGAATGTTTAATCAAGTACTCATCCCTTTCGTAATTATTTTTGATTATTCTGATATCGTTGTAAATATCTCTGGACATGTCTGCTATTAATTTATCATTTAAAAGTTCACTATCGGTGATGTCTGAATAGTCGGAGTATTCTTGTTGTTCATTTTTTATAGAATGTCTTTTGTTTTTTTTATTTTTATTTTCAAACCCGATCACCGTTTTGTGCTTCCTCGACTTTCTAACGTTGTTTGGTAACCTTTGCTTCGCCTTAGGGTTGTTCTTATTTATGTTGTTTGCCTTCATATTGAAGAGGGAGCTGCACTTGCGCAATTCGAAGAACTCTGTATTGTTTTTCCTTCGACGGTGCAACTCGCATGCATTTTTATTCCTTTTCTCGTCGTCTTCTTTGCTGTGGTAACCCTGCTCATTTTGCGGCACCGGTTCGTCCACATCTGGGGGGATCCCTCTACCCGTTAAGATATGTGTACCTTTTGTAGTTACATGTGTGTGGTCTACCACTTTAGATGCGTTTTCTCCAGATTGTGCTTTTATTGGCACTATGAAATCGTCCCTGGGGGTTATCCGCATTGGTTTCTCCGAGCCGGGAAGGAGGAATTCGTAAGGACCCTGCCCTTGAGGTGCGACCATTTGGTTATTTCCATCTTGCTGTGTGTACATCATCGGTGATTTGGCATCTGTTCCATATGGGGCATTCATAGGGGGGGTGCTTAAATGCACCGAATTGTCCCTTATTGGGTTGCTCTCTCTTCGATATGTTCCCTCTACATTGGAAGCGTTATAGTTTATACCCCCCACATGGGGGTAGCTCGTCTGGCTATGCGGGAGCGGGAGTAAGCCTTTTTGCGCTTCATTCGGGACGTTATTCGGGGGAGTATACAACATGCTTCTTGCCTCATTTTTTGCTGCATAACTCTTTGGTTTGTCTTCACTGCACAGTTTGTAGGAGTTCGAAGTCATCTCTTTCTGCGCCCCATCAGCATCCCGTGGGTAATAAAAACCATAAATGGGCTTCTTCCTTTTGTGCTCCTTCGGGTCATAGAGTACAAGAATATGATGTAGGGGATTCTTCCCAGAGTAGGGGATGTTCTTACAAGCTATGAGATATATAACAGACGGAGTGATAAAATTACAGGCATAGGAGAAAATCAAGCTGGACCAAGTGAAGATATTTTCAAAAATAGCCCTGGAGGTAAAAAAATAGGAAATCAAAAAGGGGAAAATGGTTCCAAAAATGAAAGCCATTTTTTCAGAGCAAATATTACTATTGATTAAATTGTACCGAGTAGCTATGCAGTAGACATATATTCCCGGGGCAATGGTTAATAAGTCAAATAGGTATATACAGATTTTCATATATGTGTTTATAAAAGGGTTTTGCAACATGTCATATAATATATTATCACTATGAATCTCAGGGTAGGCTGTACATAATATGTACCCAAATATATAGTAAACGAAACAACAGAAAAGATTGGAGACCCAAACAGTTTTGATAATTTTTACGTCTGATTTCATTTCGTTTGCCCAACATGGAATTACTGTCACTGCTGAGTAGGAAGAAATGTATGATGAGAGAAGCTGTCTGAAATTAAAATCTCCAAAAGCGGTTGGGTATTTTATATTGGTGTATTTCTTTATGCCCTTATTCATTATGACCCCACTGGCGTTGTATCGATATATTTTAAGTCCAGCTAAGTATATCATTTGAACAATGGTGCTCATCAGAAATAGGAAAGAAAATAACTGTATCTTCATGTTGTCTTCCAAATTGGATTGGGAAAAATAAATCGATATAATCGCATTGATTACATACCCCACCGTTATGCACACCACATAACTGTTGCTGTAGTATATTTCGCTTATGTCTATGAGGTAGTTTATTTGAAAATTAGGGTACAGAGTAAACCCTACAGTATAACCTACGACATTTATTATTATGTAATCCATTGCGTGGGAAACTATTACTATCGATATGATGTTGCTTGCTAGGATACTTGCGTAGTAACACATCTGCATCAGCCAAAAGAATATGTTGTTCTTCCCTAAGAAGTAACAAACTGTTGAGATGTACTCGTATCTCTTATTAAAATGGATATTATTCGGGATCATGGTCATCGCACGTAGAAAAAGTAAGGTGTTAAAAATGGTTAAGACGCATATGAACATGTTTGTGATTAGACAAGGTAGCCATCCTGAACTTTTGAACACATATGGAATTGACACAAGTCCTGATCCGAATATTTGGTTTATTAGGTATATATAGCTATACCTATTTCCTATCGTTTTACTTCCAAAATATTTCTTCTCCTTCAGGCGCTTTACCTTCTCGATGTATTCCTTCTTATCATTGTAGTGCGCATTCCCCTTTTTGTTTTTTCCTTGAACATTCATTTTCTCTCTTCTCTCCAGCTCTTCTAAATTATGGTACTCTGTGTTTGTCTGATCGCCCACATGTTTTTCGCAACACGGCGGTCCACCCCCCATCCTTTCTTTGTCTTGTAGTTGCACAAAAAAAAAAAAAAAGAAAAATGACGAACTGGAGGATAATTCGATTCTTCACACACCCCTTTGCGCGTTGTTTGTAACTTTCTCCGTCTATGTTCCCCTTCCACGCTGCATGTTGCTTCCCGGACCTGTGTTGCTCCTGTTGGGTGGCACTTTTACGGGTCACTGATGGGTGGCACTTTTACGGGTCACTGATGGGTGGCACTTTTAC